ATTTATGTGGTTTTTTTTCAATAGATTAAAAAAATATTATTTGAACTCAAATTTACAATTGTAATATAAAAGAAATAAACAAAATGCAATTTATATAACAACTTTATAAAATACATCAAGATTCAAAACATCACTTAAATATCACTCGTCTTCCATTTTCAATGCAAAAGTATCAATTAACTTTACGTAATAATTCTTTTAAAATAACATAGGTATGTATATATAGGGGTTTATACAAATTGGGGCCCTCTCAATCTGGGGGCCCTAAGCAGCCGTCTTGCTTGCTTAGGGCATCCTCTGCTAGGTTACCAATCAACACAAAGCTCATAATTTAAACAGTGTTTTGACCCAAATTAAGAAGCTGATGCATGTGGTGAGATCAAATAAACAATTGGATAAGATGACCAAATTAATATAATTAACCCCTGGGTCTTATACAGTAGACTAAAAGCAGATGCATGCCTTAGTTTCATTATAATATATACTCAGAATATGAAATTCCCAAAGAAAAAGAAATCAATCTGATAAATTACCATAATTAAATAAAAATATTATCTCAATCTGGCAAAAGATTGTACAGAACAAGCTAATAAGGATACATTAAATATTGTAAATCATTACAACAATATTACGTACTAAAATATACTTTTGTTCTGTAACTGATGATGAGCTATATATATGATTAGAAAGAGCTAAAGCATTCATGTTCAGAGGAATTAGAGTCATCGCAAGGGGAGTGGTTGTGTCTACCTTCATAGGTTGTTATCACCATTCGACAATCTTCAGACAGTCGTTCAACCCTTTTCTTCACCCGACAGTTACTGTGAGTACAGCGGTAGTAGCTTCTGCATCCATAAATTTATGCCATTCAGTTTCAGCACAACAACAACAAACTAAAACCCTCTCATGATCTCTAAATATATCACTCATATGCAACGTGGGATATACTTTAGAATTGTGGTTAATTATAATATGAGATAATTAACATTCTCAACACCGCTCCTCATATGTTGATTGAGTTAATTAAATTAGGTGACGCTAATTAAAGCACGTGACCATTGAGTTAGATATGCGAATTGCATAATAATATGAGATGCATCTAACACAAAACCAATTAGTAATAAAAGGTGGAGAAGTAACTATTATGGAAGGTGTTCCTTGATACATACAACACCAATGAATTGTGGTTTTGAGAAGAAAACATATATATGCGCACAACATAGATGAAAGTACATGATCTTAGAATTGATAACAAACGTATAACTTTGTTAGACAATAGCACATGGTATTATGTGTGAAGTCCAATGGTCACACGTGCTTCACGTCACTTAATTAAATTGTCTACGTGTTAGGAATTGTGTGTGAGGATGTGAAGAATGATCCCGCATAGGAAAATTAAGAAACCTTGCAATGGTTTATAAGGATCGAGTCACTCCACAAATTGTTAGTTGGTTTTGGGACTTGAACTCCAACTTCCTTAGTTCCTTCAAGAATGATGAACATTTCCAGTTATGTAAAGTGTATTTCACATGTGTATTCTCATAATTTTTTTCTATTGGTGCCAAAAATTGCGAATAATCTACACCATTAATTTTTTAATTTGTAAATAATTGTCACCGATTGCATACATCTAAATACTAAAAATAGACAATCATATCCTGCATATATATTCTATACCCCTAGGCATTGGTGAACAATTAAGTAAAACCTAGGTTGAAAGTTGGCAAGGGGCTTGTAGCTCAAAAGTGGTTAAAAATATTTACTCCTACACCCGAGGTCTTAGGTTCGATTCTTCCCTCCCCATATGGCTTGTATAAAAAAAAAGTTGAAAGTTGGTGCAAACCATATACTCATTCTGAACCTCTATAGATATGCATTTGTACCAATATATGATGTATACGATAAATATGAAAGACTAAATAGCCATAGAAATAAAATTAAGTATACCTAGGATGAAGGCTGTTCTTGACAACTTTCTGGCCATATTTCCTCCATTTGTAACCATCATCAAGCACATCCACATCACTTCTGGTTTGGAAACAGAATCTTGGCTCCCTAAGCTTTCTCCTCACCTTCATCTTGCTCTTCTCTGAGCTTGAGCTCCTCCACCTGTCAAATAATTAATTAATTTCAAGCTCC